ATATCACACAACATAAACTTTAGAGCAAAGCGGATTACCGGGGATAAAGAGGGACATTGCATATTGAAAAAAGGGACAATTCTTCAAGAAGCCATAGCAATTCTAAAGGTAGGCACCTGAAAACAGAGCTTTAATAGAAAAAATTTTGGAAGCAAAAATTGACAACTGAAAGTAGAAATAGACAAATCCACAATTACAGTTGGAGTCAGCAGTACTTCTCTCTCAGTAACAGATAAAACTAGTAGACAGAAGATCAGCAAGGATATAAAATAAGTGAACAATGCTATCAACCAACGGGACATAATGATGTTTACAGCACACTCCACACAACAGCAACAGAATGTATATTCTTCTCAAGTGCAGATGGAACATTCACCAAAATAAAGCATAGCTTGATCTGAAAAAACAAACCTTAGCAAATTTAAGATAATCAAAAACATACAAAGCATGTTGTCTGACTATAATAGAATTAGAGTAGAAATCAATATGAGAAAAATGTCAGGAAAATCTTTAATCACTTGGGAATTAAACACCACAATCCTAAATAATCCACGGATCAAAGAGGAAGTCTTAAGGGAAACTTAAAATATTTTGAACTGAATGAAATTAAAATACAGCATGTAAGAAACATGAGAGATGCAGCTAAAGCAGTGCTTAGAGGGAAAGTTATAGTACAAATGCTTACATTAGAAAAGAAGAAAGGTCTCAAGTCAATAATCTAAATTTCCATCTCAAGAAATTAGAAAATGATGAGCAATATAGACCCAAGTCATGCAGAAGAAGGGAAATAAATATAAGAGCAAAAATCAAAAGAATGTGGAAACCAAAAAACAATAGAAAAAAATTGTGAAAAAGCTGATTCTTTGGAATGATCAATAAAATTGATAAACCTCTAGCAACACTGGCAAAAAAAAAAAAAAAAGTGCAGACACAAATTACCAGTATCAGGAACGAAAGAGGTCTGTCACTACAGACATCACAAAAGGATAGGAAAGGAATGCTCTGAATAACTCTGTTGACATAAATTCAATAGCTGGAGTGCCATGGACCAAATCCTCAAAAGCCACAAGCTACCAAAATTCACTCAGCATGAACTAGATAGCCTGAATAGCCCTATTACTACTAAAGAAATTAAATCTATAGTTAAATATCTTCTGAAAAAGAAAGTCTCATAGTTTCACTGGCAAATTACACTAAACATTTAAAGAAGAAATACAAAGTCTACAAATCCCTTCCAGGAAATAAAAGGGGAAGGACAACTTCCCAACTCGTTTACCAGCCCAGCATCACCCCAGTACTGAAACCAGCACTAAAAAGAAAACAACAAACCCTTGTGAACATAGCTGCAAAAACCCTCAACAGATAGAATTATTCTTATTCTCTGAAGTAGTTCTGTTCTATGAAGTCACTGCAAACTCCAAGTTAGCCAACACCGAACCACTGCTCCCCAGGGGAGATAGAGGCTCAGGTTCCTGAAAGCACAAAAGCACAAAAAACATGGCACGAAACAGACCGTGAAAAGGATGCTTGTTTACAGCAAGAGCTGAAACAAGAAAGCAGTGTCGCCTTGCTCAACCTCAGCTGAGGACGTGCACATCGAGTCATTCAAACTTTTTGCTGCTCAGCTCATGTCCACAGATGACCACGGAAGTGCTACAAGTATTGATTTGGGAATTACAAAACAATTTTGAGGTTAGTAAGCAAAATTGCAAATACAAAATCCACAAATAATGAGACCTGACTGTGTTAACAAATAAAATCCAGTGAGATATAAAGAAAACAATGCACCACAACCAAGTGAAGCTTATCCTGAGAATGTATGGCTGGTTCAGTATTTAGGAAAATCAGTCAGTGTATATCACCACACTGAGTGTCCAAAGAAGAAACATCACATGAACATATTAAAGGATGAAGACAAAGCACGTGACAAAATACAGCGCTCATTCGTGACGAAAACTCTAGCAAACTAGAGGGAACTTCCGCACCCTGACCAAGGGCACCGCGTAACACCTACAACTAACACCGTGCTTCATGGTGGACGACAATTCAGCCTGGGAACAAGGCTCAGGTGTGCAGTCATCACCATACTTCATGCACCTGGGAGTCTTTGCCAGGGCAGTAGGTGAGAAGGAAGAAGAGGCACACACGAGAGGAGGAGATGCCGCTGTCCTGTTTACAGACCACACGACTGTCTGCGTCAGAAACTCCAGGGAATCTACACAGGCTCCTGGGGCTAATAGGTGGGCTTAGCATGGTGGTGGGTACAAGGTCAACCACAAAGACCAATTGCATCTACTTACCACCAATGAACAATTGAAAACTGAATTTTTAAAAGTACCATTTACAATAGCTCCCCACAAAAATGAAATACCTAGGTATAAATCTAACAAAACATGTACTGGATCGTTGTTCTGAACACTAGAAAAATGCTGACGAAAAGAATTTTAAGACCTAAACACTAACTAGAGAGAAGAGAAATTGTGTTCAGGGATTGGAAGCCTCAAAATTGTAAAGATATCAATTCTCCACAAGCTGATTATATAACGCCAATAAAAGTTTCAGGAGAATTTTTTTGTACATAAAGAGGGGCTGACTATAAAATTTATATGGAAGTGCATAGGAACTAGAATAGCTAAAACAATTTTGAAAAAGAAGATTGAAGTTGGAGGACTCGTACTGCACAATATTAAGGTCTACTCTGTGGGGACTTCCCTGGCGGTGCAGTGGTTAGGAATCCGCCTGCCAATGTAGGAGACACGGGTTTGAGCCCTGGTCCGGGAAGATCCCACATGCCACAGAGCAACTAAGGCCGTGCACCACAACTACTGAGCCTGCGCTCTAGAGCCTGTGCTCGGCAACAAGAGAAGCCACCGCAAAGAGAAGCCCACGCACCACAACGAAGAGTGGCCCCCGCTCGCCGCAACTAGAGAAAGCCCGTGCGCAGCAACGAAGACCCAACACAGCCAAAAATGAATAAGTAAATAAATAAATTTATTTAAAAAAAAAAAAAAAGACTTACTATATGGCTGCATAATCAAGACAGAATTGGGGACAGAATTCCAATAGAATGTCCAGAAATGAGCCCTCACAAATATGGCCAATCATACAGAGGTGCAGAGGGTTCCACAGAGAAAGGATGGTCCTTTCTTTTTTTAAAAACTAGTTAATTATTTTTTTGACTGCATTGGGTCTTCATTGCTGCGTACAGGCTTTTCTCTAGTTGTGGTGAGCAGGGGCTACTCTTCGCTGCAGTGCGTGGGCTTCTCATTGCGGTGGCTTCTCTTGCTGTGGAGCACGGGCTCTAGGCGCATGGGCTTCTGTAGCTGTGGCACGTGGGCTCAGTAGCTGTGGCTCGCGGACTTAGTTGCTCCGAGGCATGTGGGATCCTCCCGGACCAGGGCTCGAACCCGTGTCCCCTGCGTTGGCAGGCAGATTCTCAACCACTGGGCCACCAGGGAAGCCCCCATCCTTTTTTTTTTTTTAATTTTATTGAAGTATAGTTGATTTACAATGTTGTGTTAATTTCTCCTGCACAGCAAAGTGACTCAGTTATGTACACACACGCACACACACACACACATTCTCTTTCACATTCTTTTCCGTGATGGTTTATCACAGGATATTGAATAGAGTTCCTTGTGTTATGCAGTAGGACCTTGTTGTTTATCCATCTTGTATATAATAGTTTGCATCTGCTAACCCCAAACTCCCATTCCTTCCCTTCCCTACTCCCCCTCCCCCTTGGCAACTGCAAGTCTGTTCTCTATGTCTGTGAGCCAGTCTCTGTTTCATAGATAGGTTGGTTTGTATCATATTTTAGATTCCACATGTAAGTGATATCATACGGTGTTTGTCTTTCTCTTTCTGACTTACTTCGCTCAGTATGATAATCTCTAGGTCCAACCATGTTGCTGCCAAGGGCATTATTTCCTTCTTTTTTGATGGCTGAGTCATATTCCATTGTATATATGTACCACATCTTCTTTGGAAAGGATGGTCTTTTCAACACCCAGTGCCGGTGCCTTGGCCGTCCACATGCAGAGGAGGTGGACTTGACCAAGCCACACATCTTACAAAGAATAATTCAAAATGCTTCATAGATCAAGTTACATCATGAAACTAAGAGACTTGAGGAGAAAGAATTCTTCAGGACCAGGGGTTAGGCAAAAAGTTCTTAGTAACAACACAAAAAGACCATCCACAAAAAAACACACGGATAAATTTGGCTTCATCAAGAATTTTAAAATTTGCTCTGTGAAATACACTGTTCAGGTAAGATACGGACTGAGAGAAAATACTTGCAAATCTCATCCAGGAGAAGGGGCTGCACCTAGAATATATAAAGAATTCTCCAAACTCAGCAGGAATAAGTCAAACAATCCAACCAAAAGATGTGCCACGTGACCAGAGAGGACACACGTGTGCAAAAAGTGCGTGGGGAGGCTCTCGGCATCCTCAGCCCTTGGTGCAAACTGAAGCCACAGGGAGGCTGGACCGGCATCGGCCAGACCGGCTGAAATGGAAAGTTGTGACGCGGACACTGGAAGGACGCAGAGAGACCGGCTCTCTCACGCTAGAGAACATCTGCGCAGTTTTGCATCGAGTTAAACCCAGCAGTCTGTCTCCGGGGTGGGAGCGAAAGCACAGGTCCGGCGAAGCCTCGTGCATGAATGTCCACGGCAGCTTTTCACAGTCGGAGAGCGGGAACCCCGATGCCTCCAGCACCGGGGGTTCAGCAAACGGTTCATCAGAGCAGCCGGTCTCCACGTGGGCATGGGGGAGATGCTGGGCCTCAGGTCTCAAGCTGAGGGGAAGAAGCCAGGCTCAATTCATCTCTGAGACCCCCTCCCGAGGACAAAACCTCAGCGAGGAGAGCCAGTGGGGTGGGGGGGCCGGGGCTGGGCTGGGCGGTTCTGGTTGCGGTGGCCGGGGTCACACAAATAGACCCGTGTGCACAAAAAGGGGCAATTTCACCGCACGCCTGCTAACCACCAAACCACTTGACTGGGGCTGACTCTCGCCCGCCTCATGGGACCACAGCTGGCCCTGACTCCGGGCCTTTGCTCTGGCCGAGCCCTCGGCCTTGGGCCCTTTCCAGTCACCTGACTCCGCTGACCTGCCCCTCGCCTGAGCACTGGCACCGTCCTCCCGCTGGGGAAGGGCGGGGTCGGAGGGCAAAGTCTGAGCAGCCTCGGAGGGGACCACCCTGGGCGGGGCTGGTGACCCCAGGTGGGGGCAGGCAGCAGCGGCTCGTCACCTGCCTGACAGCGGACCCGGACTCAGGGGAGCGGTGACCAGCGTCGGGTGGCAGGCAGAGGCGGGACGGCACCTGGCAGGTGCCTGAGAGGCGACAGACGGGCCAGCTTCCACGCTGCTGCCACTGCTTACCCACCAGCCCAGGTGAGGGGCCGTCTTGGTCTGGGGGTGCTGACCGGTCCTGAGGGCGTGCTCTGTGTGGAGTCTACCCAGCTTCTCTGCCCACCCACTGGGGGCTCAGGCTGGGGGCTCAGGGTGCTACACGCCCTGGAGGGGTGTTTGAGGGGGGATACCGGTGTCCCTGGCCCTGCCTGTAACTGGTCTGTCTCTGTGAGTGGCCTGTGGCCAGTGTGCGTTTGGGGACACAGGCTGGGTCCCGTCCGGCCTGGCCTGGCGGCGGCTCGAGCAGATCACCCGTCCTCTCTGAGCCTCGCTCTTCCCTCCTTAAAATGGGATCATGACGCAGACGGGCCGCCTGGAGCCCAGGGCCCTGCATTCGCCCTGAGAGGCGGACGCCCCCTGGGAACAGCCGCATTCCTGCGGGGATACTGATGCCGCACAAAGTCCATGAGCCTCAAAGCTCTGCAGGCCTCAGACCATTTCCTTTGGACAGTGGTGGCAACTGGCCCGAGGTCCCTGGTGACCTCGTGTGCGTGGGTCCCCGCTCAGGGACGTTTGGGGGCTGGAGAGGGCCCTGCAGAGGCCTCAGTCACTGAGCTGGTGCCGTGGCCCGGTGCAAACCACATTCCTGGGTCAGCCTGGGCCGGCTGCGAGGGATCGTCATGGGGCCAAGTGAAAAGGTTCAGATCAGAGTAGCCCGAGGTTGGGTTTTTAAACAGAAACCAGATGAATCTGTTCAGAACCCCTCAGCCTTCAGGTCCTTCAGTAGAGAAACCGTGCTTCCCGGGACTCGCTGACCTGCTTGGCAGCAATTAGACATCCAGGCAGTCGGTCAGCTGTCCCCACCGAGTTCAGGCCTGACCCCAGGACTCTTAGAAAACTGTCCTGGGAGAGGCCTGGGGTGAGGGCTGCAGGTAGGTGGGAGAGGTGGGGCCCTGGGTTCCCGGAGTTCACTGTGGATCTGGGGCTCCTTATCCTGCGGGGGACGGGAGAGGAGCTGGGGTCCTGGGAGGGTGCGGGCAGTGGGGCTGGCAGATCACACGGGGGTGGCTCCGCTGGGCCCCGGCGTGGCACTAGAAAGGGGGTCTCCGGGACCTCCTCATTGCTGTGGGTTGCAGCCTAGCCTGTCGCCAGACAGGGCGTCCCGGTGCCCGGCCCCTGCCGGCCCCTGTGGCGCTGTGACACCACGCGTAGCCCGGCTCTCCGGCGTGGTCTGTAGTCCTGCCCGTCGACCCAGCCGGGGTGGGCTGTCTGAGCCCCGGGGAGGGTGCTTACTGCTGCCAACCCCACAGGTGCCAGTACCGCCCCCATGGGGCTGACATGGAGGGAACGGGCCTTCACAGCCCTGCTGGGGGCTGCAGCGGTCTCAGGCCTCACCACGCTCATTCTCTTCCTGGTGGAGGCCACCAACGTCCTCCTGCCCGCAGACACCAAGGTGTGCCCCCAGACCTCGCCCAGGGGAGGCTGGGCTGGGCCGTGGCGGCCCCTACGCCCTCCTGACCCTGGTATCACTCCCAGTTCGGGATCGTGTTCGACGCTGGGTCCTCCCACACGTCACTCTTGGTGTATCAGTGGCCGGCAAACAAGGAGAATGACACAGGTGTGGTCAGCCAGGCCCTGGCCTGCCGGGCGAAAGGTCAGTGGGCAGTTCCATCAGCGGTGGACGGGTGCTGGGAGCTGCCAGCCGCTGCCCGGCTGGGGTTCCCAGCTGGGTGGAGGTTTGGGAAGTGGCACAGGCTGGAGCTGGGCAGTAGCAAATCAGCCTAAAGAAAAGGGGCTCAGAGAGGTTCAGTGAGTTGCCCCAGGGGGCCCAGCCGGTCAGTGGGAGCCAGGCCAGGGCTCTGGATCTGTCCTGCCTGAGCCCGCAGAGACCCGAAACAAACCCTTCCAGCTCCTGGGGCTCCAGACGTGGCATCCCTCCAACCTCTCCCTCGGACTTCACGTGGCCTCTCCCCTGTGTGTCTCAAATCTCCCTCTTCTGTCTCTTGTAAGGATGCCAGTGGTTGGTTTCAGGGCCCACCTGGGGAATCCAGGGTGATCTCATCTTAAGATCCTTAACTTAATGACATCTGCAAAGACCCTTTTTCCAGATACGGTCCCATCCGCAGGCTCCGAGGGTCATGATGCATCTTTGGGGGCTGCTTTTCAGCTCAGCTTCCTTCGGGGCCTGGAGCCTCGTCCTGTGGTGTTGTGTTTCAGGGCCTGGCATCTCTTCCTACGCCTCTGACCCTGCACAGGCTGGCGAGAGCCTGCAGGGCTGCCTGGAGGAGGCGCTGGCACTGATCCCAAAGGCCAAGCATCAGCAAACGCCCATGTTCCTGGGGGCCACAGGTGGCATGAGACTGCTCAGGTGCGGGGGCTGGCGTGGGCCCGCACACGTCCCTGGGGTGCAGTGTGAGAGCTGTGGTCCCTGCTCAGGCGGGATGGAGGAGGGGTGGCTTCTGCCAGCTCCAGCGGCCTGTCTTCTCCGCGCAGCCGGAAGAACAGCTCTCAGGCGGAGGACGTCTTCGCAGCGGTCAGCCAGGCCCTGAGCCGGTCTCCCGTGGCCTTCTGGGGCGCTGAGCTCCTGGCTGGGCAGGACGAAGGGGCCTTAGGTTGGGTCACCATCAACTACGTCCTGGGCCTGCTGGTGCAGGTGCCACAGACGGCCCCAGGGTCGGAGGGGCACCCGGGGGGGTCATCGTGGCCGGCCCCAGGGTGGGAGGGGCACTCGGGGGGGTCATCGCAGCCCCAGGACTCAGTGCCCCCTGTCTGTGGTCAGTACTCCTTCTCTGGAGAATGGATCCAGCCTCTGGAGGGGACGTTGGTGGGCGCCCTGGACATGGGTGGGGCCTCCACCCAGATCACCTTTGTGCCTGGAGGCCCCATCCTGGACACCACCACCCAGGCCACCTTCCGCCTCTATGGCACAGAACACAGCGTCTACACCCACAGCTACCTCTGCTTCGGGCACGACCAGATGCTGAACCGGCTCCTGGCCGGGCTGGTGCAGGTGGGCTGCTCTGCGGGGAGGGCGGGGCGCCCTGCCAGGCGGGTGCTCAGAGGTGCCCCCACCCTCCCCGCAGAGCAGCCCGAGCCTCCTGGTGCGTCACCCCTGCTACCACAGCGGCTACCGGGGCACGCTGGCCCTGGCCCCCCTGTACGGGTCGCCCTGCGTCCAGGCCGCAGCCCCCCGAGACCTCGGCCAGAACCTCACTGTGGAGGGGACGGGGAACCCCGGGGCCTGTGTCGCCGCCATCCGGGGTCTCTTCAACTTCTCCAGCTGCGACGGCCGAGGAGACTGCGCCTTCGACAGGGTCTACCAGCCCCCCGTGCGGGGACAGTTCTACGTGAGCCCCCGCGGCCTGCCCTCGGGGCCAAGCTTCCCCTCGGGGCCCCCGACCCCAGGGGGACCTTGGGGAGCCTGGGACCCCAGGTGGGGTGGGGTGGGGCGGGGCGGGGCGGAACCTGGCTCATCCTGGGCCCCCCGCCTTGCGCCCTGCCCGGGCACTTCACCCCCCTCCCCCAGGCCTTCTCCAACTTCTACCACACCTTCCACTTCCTGAACCTCACCTCCAGGCCGCCGCTGGCCACGGCCAATGCCACCATCTGGGAGTTCTGCCAGAGGCCCTGGAAGCTGGTGGGTGGATGCGGGCCGCCCGCCCCCCACCTGGGCCCCAGCTCCCTGGGCTGCAGACTCCACCGAGCGGGGACCCCGTCCCAGGCAGTGTGGCCGGGGGGCTGGGGAGCTCCAGGCAGGAGACTCAGGGGCACGCCTCGGAGGGGGGCCAGCCTTGGGGGCCCAGGAGGCCAGGAGGCCTCATGGGGCTCCTGGCCTCCCGGGCCCCCAGGTGGAGGCGAGCTCGCCCGGGCAGGACGGCCAGCTGCGCGACTACTGTGCCTCGGGCCTGTACATCCTCACGCTCCTGCTCGAGGGCTACGGGTTCAGCCAGGAGACCTGGGGCGGCATCGAGTTCCGCAAGCAGGTGACGGCTCAGGGCGAGAGCGGGTTGGGGCTTCGGACCGCTGCCCGCAGCCTGACCGGCCGTGTGGCCCGCAGGCCGGTGGCACCGACATCGGCTGGACGCTGGGCTACATGCTGAACCTGACCGGCCTGATCCCAGCCGAGGCGCCCGCCCAGTGGCGGGCACAGAGCTATGGCGTCTGGGTGGCCGGAGTCGTCTTTTTGGTGCTGACCCTCATGGCCATTCTCGGGGCCACTGTGGTGCAGCTCTGGCTCCGGGACTAGGCTGGCTGCCACCTGGTGCTGGAAGGCAGAGGCCTGAGCTGGCCAGAGCCTTCCTGAGCCCCAACCCCAAAGGCTCGCCCTGTGGGCTCTGGCCCCACGGTCACATGGCCCCCTTTTGCCGTTGGGGTCATTCTGGCCACGGAGGCTGTGCCGTGGCCCCGACCATGGCCTTCAGGTGCCAGCGCCCCAGCGGGTTTCCCATGTTGCACGAGGGCTGGGCCATCGCGACCCCTGCAGCCCTCAGGGCTGTGTGACTGCAGACCTACGGGTTCAGGGCCAGGCCAAGCCTGGGAGTAGGGGTGACTGCTGGAGGTAGAGGGGGCCCGGCTCTTTGGGAGGGGCCGGCAGCGGGCCCTGGCCTCTCCAGGAGCTGGCAGAGCCAGTGTACAGGCGCTGTGGGCTTTTCCCAGAGCGGCCAGCCCACACCCTCAGAAGCCTCAGTCAGGTCCCCTCAGTGGCCAAGCCCAGAAGACGGACCACACCTTGGTGGGGGCAGATCGCCTTTATTAAACCCTCCTTGCCACGGACTTCTTAGCGCCAAGCTCCTCATGTGCGCCGGCCGGCCGGGACCACGAAGCACTTGGGGAAAATCCCGACGCGGCCGTCACAGTGGCCCTCCAGCCACGCCTGGTCCACTGCAGGGGGCGTCAGGGCATCACCACACCTGCTCGCAGACACCGCGTCTGCCCCGGGGCCCCGGCAGGGCGATGGGGGGCGGGGGCAGTGCCAGCTCTACCTTCGCACAAGACGTCCACCGTGTCTCCGGGCTGCAGGGCCAGGTCCTCGGGCCCCTGGGCAGAGTAGCCGTGCCGGGCCACCACCTGGTAGAGGACAGGCCGGCCGCCCACTCCCTGCGGCAGTGGGGAGGGCTGTAGGGTAAGCTCGGAACGGAGAGAAGGGCTGGACATCCCCGCCCCGGGCCGCCTCCTGCCCCGGCTCACCTGGCACCGTAGCCGCAGCTCCCCAGAGCCGGCAGCCGCGCCCCGCCAGGCCCTCTGCAGTGCCTCCTCCCCGGTGAGGGGCACCCAGCCCCTGCTGTCACTAGGGTCTCGGTAACTGCAAAGAGATGCCTCAGAGTGGGCAGCGCGGGCAGGGGCTTTAGGGAGGGTGCTGACCTCTGACCTCAAAAGCCTCTCCCAGGGCCGGGACTAATAGGTGCTCAGCTTGGAGCCCTCCCACCCGGCTTTCCAGCTCACCTGAGCTGCCCACTCTGGGCCTGGGGAGGGAGGGCCTGGCTCATCAGGGCCCGCAGGCTGGACAGGTCAGCTCCTCTTGGGGCCCTCAGGGCCAGGGTGAAGGTACACTGCACTGTGAAGGTCACCAAGGACTCGGGGCCCCCTGCAGCCACACCCTGGGTCCAAGCAGAAAGGTGGTTGGTCTCCAAGGACCCAGATCTGTGTGCCCAGGACTGCCAGGGTGGGCTTCAGGCCAGGGGGCAGGGCAGGGACCGAGAGGGTGGGAGGGGGCTGGGGCTCTGGACTTGTGAGGCTTCTTTAGCTGGGGTCCCTAGAGGCATTCGGAGGATGGGGTCTGGCCTTGGAGCCCCACATCCCTGGGGGGTGGAGGGTGACATGAGAGCCAGTGCCTCTTACCCCAGCGCCTGCAGGATCCTCAGAGGAGCCAGGGCCCGGCCCCCCAGCCACCACCAGCCCTGCGGAGCGGGGAGGCGTCAGGGACTCCGGTGGCTACCGACCCCCAGAGTAGAACATGTCGGAGTAGAGGGGATGCTAGCACCACAGGCAGCCCCAAGGCCACCAGGTTCCTCCGGAGGACAAAGGGGCTGCTCCCAGCCCCGCCCAGATACCTGCCTGGGGCTCCCTCCACAAAGTGCCCTCCCACTACCGGCTGCTCAGGGCGCCTCACCTGGAGGGACCCACTGGCCAACTTGCTCCACGTGAGGCTTCTGCAAGGAAAGCCACAGGCTGGGGCTCTGCCGGGCCGGGGTGGGGTTGAGGCCGGGGTGGGGCCCTGAGGGTAGAGGTAGCTTTCCCTGGGCCTGGAGCTCGTCGGGGGCGGTGCCCAGACACTGTCCAAGCAGAGCCAGTGGTGAGGAGCATGGCCTGCAAGACAGCCTGGCCAGGCAGGAAGCCACAAATCTAACGGCATTGGAGGTGAATCCGGGGCATGAACCAGGTCCCTATAGGCCTGGAGACTACAGACAGGCCACCTTGCACTCTGGGCACCAATCCGTCTTCCCCTGGCCCACCAGGAGGTGGCAGCTCCAGCTGGGGTTCCCGGTGACCCTGGGGGCTGGGGACCGAAGCCAGGGACCCGCTGGACTTCACCCTGTGTTGGGACCCTAAGCAGTGGGTGTGCTGAGGGGCGGCAGAAACCCCCGAGGGCCCCAGTCCTGGCCACACCGACCAGCTGACTCAGATGCTGATTTCAGGTGGGATCTGAAAGTTGGACTAAGTTTGTAAACGGAGTGTTTAGATTCTTATCAGACTTGTCAGCTGTTTAAAGCAATTAGGGAGCTGCTGCCCACTGTCAGGAGGGTCAAGTGCTCGAACACCCAGTGTGTGAACTTAGGGCCACGGGGTTTCGTCAAGCACCGCTGTGACGGATGGCTTTCAAGGGCACCAACTGTCCACCGACTTGGCTGGGCATCAGTGAAAGAGGAAGTGAAGTGACCGTCTCGTCTCAAACTGAGTCCTTTCATAAACTGAATGTAAAAGTTAACCACCTTCTCTGTGCTGGGCGGCCTCCCGGCACACCTGCCCAGCACACCTGCCCAGGAGAACCCTGTGCCCCTCCCTTCCTCGGCCTCACCCAGTGCCTGGGGCATCTCGGAGAGTCCCATGTCCAAGAAGGAAGGCCGGGGGCCCCAGCTGAGGGGTGGGAGCCTCATGGCTATGATGCACGGGCTGCAGGCCTCTCCCGGGCCCAGGGTGGGGAGCAGACACCCAGGCTCCTGTCTATGCACATGTGAGCAGCAGTGTGTCCCTGACCCATGGCGTCCGGTCACTGTGGCTGGCTCCCGCCAAGTCCCTGGGCTGCCTGAGGAAGCCAAATCTCCATCCCCCAGCAGGTGATGAGGCCACCTGCCCTGCCCTGAGACCCTTGCAGGGCCCAGCTGTGGCTGGTCCTGAAGCTCAGCCTGGGGCAGGGGTCCTCCAAATACTATGGCCCCTGCCTGCCCTGCCCGGGCTCACCCACCTGCTCATCATTGGTGACCAGTGTGCTATGGTCAGCCCGCCCAGCCTGGCCAGAGGTGACCTCCATCTCCGCATCAAGGGGCGTCCTGGGGCCACAGCGGGTACCAGGTCTGGAGGGGCCTGTGTCACGGGCCCTGGAGGGAAGGGGGAGGGGTCCTCGTTCTCAGGTCTCACCCAGCCAGCACAGAGGTCGAGGTCCTCCATGAAAGGTGGGCCTAGGAGAGCCCTGAGCTGGAAACAAACAGCACCCCAGTCGGACCACCACCTGTGAGGCTGCATCTGGCGGGGCCGGCAGGGCTGCTCCCGTCGGCCTGCAGCCCAGCCTGCACCCCACCCCGGTGCCTCTGGTGCCCACCCCCAGGCCTGAGCAGAGCTTCAGTGAGGGGCAGGCAGGCTCTTTCCTCAGGAGCAGAACAGGCTCAGGACAAACGGGGGCACAGGGAGGGCTGAGCAAGGCGGGACCCCTCGCCCTGCACCGGGGCTCCAGCCAGTCCAGAAAGGGGACACAGCCACCTGGCCCCTGGCCCAGAGTGGCCACACTGGGCCTGCAAAGGGGCTTTGCCGACAGGGGAAGAAGAGTGGGGGGCCACGGCCCCTTCCTACCGTTCGGCAGCCCCAGGCCTGGCTTCATCACGCGCGTAGAGAGCCTGTGGGCACACAGTGACCCCCTCCTCAGGATGCAGACCCCACGGAGCGTCGGGGGCTGGGGGGCAAGGCTGCACAGTTTTCACTGGCTCTCTCCCGGGATGGGACGCCCCCCACGTTTAGATCAGAAGGACGTTGAGAAGCCCGCGGGGAGGGTTTAAGGCATCCTTAAGAGTAATGGGTCTAGAAGGCCCCACCTGCAAAACGTCAGAGGAGAAGTCAGGTGGCTGGAAGGCTGCCCACCCACCTGTGGCTGCTGAGGCCGGGCATCCCCGTGCGGGCCATCAGGGATGGCGGAGGCCACCACCTGCGGAGGGACAGCAAGGGGCCGGCCGAGTCAGGGGTGCCCAGCCCTCGCTGCCCATTCTGAACCCCGAAGTCTCCCATCTGCCCGGGGGGTGCTGCCCAAGCCTGGCCCAAAGACGTTGGATCACGTGGTGGGGGCAGGGAGGTGGGAAGAATATGTTTGAAGAAGGAAAACATCTGTGCTGATCATTTTAACTTATTTTTTGTACAACCTTTAAAATATTCTTGTTTCTTAGAAGCAGTCATCTCCTGTGATAACAGGACTCCAAGTTGATGGATTAATGCAGCTCAGAGCCCCCTCCTCCACGCAGCCCTCCAGCAAAGACGCACGGCACCTAGCCCTCGGGTGACCGGGGGGGTGTCAGGCCTGGCTGACGGCCACCAGCTGGAAAGCAGAGTGCATCTTCCTTTGTGCACAGGGAGCCTCCTTTCCCACCTTTGGGGCGAGCTGCTCCCTGTCATGCTGTGACTTTGCTGCCCTGCCCTGACCCAGGGTGGGCAGAGATGGCCCAGGCCAGCCTGCCTCGGGCCTCCCCAGGGTCTTGCTCTCTGAGGCAGAGATGTAGGGAGGACACAGAAACACAAAACCCAGGAGATGCTGAGGCCAGAAGAGCGAGTCGAAGGCGGAGGTAGGCAGGGCCGGCACCACCTTGGGGGTCCTCAGCAGCTTCTGCTGGGCTCCACTGCCAGGTTCCAAGATCCAGATCTGTGAGCCCCATTTGGAAACACTGCTGCCCACCCCAGGAGCCTTGTGTCCTCTGTCCACCCACCAAGGCCTCGATGACCCCGGGTGTCCCCGTGAACTCAGCCTGGAAGCTCGGGACACGGTGTGAGCTCAGCAGGGGCCTGGCTGCCCGCCGCTCTGCGGCCTGCTGGGTGCTGCTGGCCCCTGAGCCCCTGGGGCCTGAGAAGCGAGAAGCTACCCCTCCCTTACCTTGGCCTTGCCCAAGAAATCCACAGGCTCCAGGTGCTCCAGGTGCCGCCTGTGCGGCCGGAAGACCTCACCCCTGGGGACCTGCCGAGGCTGCAGGGGGGCCTGTTTCTGGAGGGGGGTCCGGACAATGCAGACCTGAGCACTGGGCCAGGCCTGAGGCTGCAGGAGCCTCAAAGCGGAAGGGACGGCTTGGCCCTGTCACCTACTTCCCATAGCCCATGGGAAGTCCAGCCCACACCTGGGCACATAGGCTGCCTCCCTCCAGAAGTTTCTTCAGTCAGTCTTGGGGGCCGGACAGATGTGAGCCCCAAACTGCAGGCTATGGGCCGGGCAAGCCACCTGAGTCAGCTTAGGAGTCTGGCTCTGCTTACCTGCCCTCACCTGCCCCTCACCTACCCCCACCTTTCCCCTCACCTTCCCCCTCACCTCCCCTCACCTGCCCCCCACCTGCCCCCTCACATGCCCCTCACCTGCCCCCTCCCCTCCCCTCCCCTGCCCACCTGCCCCCACACCTCCCCTCACCTGCCCCTCACCTGCCCCTCACCTGCCCCCTCACCTGCCCCCCGCCTGCCCCCTCACCTCCCCTCACCTGCCCCCCACCTGCCCCCTCACCTCTCCTCACCTGCCCCCCACCTGCCCCCTCACCTCTCCTCACCTCCCCTCACCTGCCCCTCACCTCCCCCACCTGCCCCTCATCTGCCCCCTCACCTCCCCCCTCACCTGCCCCTCACCTGCCCTCACCTTCCCCCTCACCTGCCCCCTCACCTGCCCCTCACCTGCCTCCTCACCTCCCCTCACCTTCCCCCTCACCTGCCCCCTCACCTCCCCTCACCTGCCCCTCACCTACTCCCTCACCTACCCCTCACCTGCACTTGGCCCAGGGCGATGTCCAGGTCATCGCGGGCCCCTTCCGGCCCCTTGGAGATGGCTTCCTCTAGGCTGTGGGTGGCCTCTGCCCAGAGCCCCAGCTGGCTCTGCACTGCAGCCACGCTGAAGAGCACCTGAGAGTGAGGCGGGGGTGACGGCAGGTCCAGGACGCCCCCCAGCCCCACCCCCACCAGCTCTGCCCCCAGCCCCACCGCCTGGTCCCACACCTGGCTCTGCCCCGGGGCCGGCTCTGCCCCGCAGGCCTCATTCCCCAGACCCCCAGCCGGAGCGGATCAGCCCTCCCTGCTTCTCTGCTCTGAATGTCAGGCGGACCTCCCATCTCTGGAAGCAGCCTCTCGGCCTTCGCAGCCCCGTCCTGCACTTGGCCTGACCCCCTCCTCCCCGTGCTGCCCTGCTTACTGAACCCCCAGGAGTCTGGGGTGCTGTCTGAGGAAGGCCTCTCTCCGCCCGCCCCTCCCTCCGTGTGGAAGGACGTTTTGGGCTGGATGTGTTGGGAAACAGCAGCAAGTGGCCACGCTCCCGGGAGCCGAGGGCAGAGGGTGCGGATCACTCACCCGCGGCAGCCTCTGTCCCCGCAGTCCGCGGGGACACCGCGCTCCCAGAGCCGCTGTCACATGGCCTGCTGGGGTCACGGCCGGCCGACTCCCACAGCCCGCCTTGCACACAGTGCCCTGGGCCGGGGCCACCCCGGCGGGACGTCCCCCGCGGCTGGCTTACTGGGACACGGGTGGTTCCCAGGGGCTCTGAGGCAGCACGTTTCTGGGAGCGCATGGGCGCTCCTCCTAAGCCCCTCCATCAGTGCCCACCCCGCCCCAGGAGGCCAGGAACGGCGCCAAGCGAGAACCCCAGGGCGGGGATGCCAGGGGCCCACAGCCAGGCCTGCTTCGGCCCAGCCCCTGCCCAGCCTGTCACCTCTCGCTGACCTCTGACCCTCCCCTGCACCCCCCAGTGGGATTTGGGGGCCCCTCTGGCCAGAGGGAGCACCTGAGTCAACACAGCCCCAGCTGTGACAGTGACAAGACAGCGGGACCCAGAGGATGGGGTCTTCAGGACGAGCGGCCTGGAAGGACCACCTGGGCCGCCTGCCCACAGACAGCACCCCCAGCGCCCAGCCGCGTCCCGCTCCCCGCACGCCCACCTCCCAGGCCTGCAGCTTGAACCGCAGGCCCAGCTGGGTGTAGTCGATGGCGGCGTTGCCCCTCAGCTGTGCCAGGGTCCGCTGGAAGTCGGACAGGGCCTCCCGGAACCTGTGGGCGGCAGGGGAGCCTGGCGTGGAGCCCCTCAGCCGCCAGAGGGCAGGGGGCGGAGCTTCGCCCAGCCCCACGCTGCCCCAGCTCCTGCTGCAGTGGTGGAGGCCGTGGTGGTCACCCATGTCTCAACACAGGGGGTCCACACACAGACGGGCTGAGCAGCACGTGGGGCTCCAGCTCTGTCCTCTGGGCGCCTCGCTCCCCTGCCCGTACCCCAGACCCTCTCCCAAACCTCGGTGTGCAGAGTGCCCTGGGCGTGTCCTGCCTGCTTCTCGGGCCCCACCCCACGGGCCTCCCCATGCAGAGCCCCGCTGGAAGCTCCCCAGCCCCCACCAGAATCCCCATCGCCCCCAGGAAGGCTCCTGGGTCGATGAGAAGAGGAGGTCTCCCCCAGAGCCCACCTGCCCCCAGTGGGACCTTCTGTGGGGGCCGGGTCTGTCCTGCAGCCCGGATCCCTTCTCTGGGAAGGGCCCGGCGCCGAGGGCCGGGTGGCTAGGGAGGACCCCCATCACTTCCATGTCCTGGGACGCACCACTCCTCCAGCCCTGCCCTCGGTTTCCACGTGGGCAGAACGGGCATAATCGTGCTGTCCCGGCTACAGCAGGGATGTAGGAGCGAAGGAGGGGAAGCCGGCACAAGCACTCTGTGATCCCCTGAACCCCGTAAAGAGCCTGGGTCACGGTGTGGCCCTACGCTGCTTCTGCCGCCACACGACCACAGCATCCTGTTCCTGGGCTCCCCTGGGGCCACCCAGGGGGGGTGAGTAAGAGGAGATGACCCGTGGGCAGAGAGGAACACAGGAAAGGGCTCTGCAGAGCCAAAGGGCCATCAGACAAATAACAGGGCACTTCTGTGCTCACCTCCCCAGCTGGAAGTTGGCCACTCCTCGCTGGAAGAAGCCGACAGCCATGCAGGCATCCTTGGTCACTGCCTGGTCAAATGCCTGGGGACAAAAATGCCCATGGAACACCCAGGTCTGTAACCCCGTCACTCCTGTGTCACAGATGCGGTCCAGGCGGATGCCCAGCAATGGATCAAGGAATCGTGTTGGCCCCCATCATGGCCACCTGCAGGAGAAGGTCTCCCGCGCCCACCCAGGGGGCCTCTGAGTCTGAGGCTGGGCGCACACGTCACGGCCACAACCCAAAGCCGCCTGGGCTCCCAAGGTGCCCTGCGATGCACTCAGGGGCAGTTCGGTGGCAGCACAAACCAACCTGTTTACCATGAGGACAAGGAAACATTCCATCGCGTTAATAATAGTTACCTTCGGGGGAGGGAGTTATGCAAGGTTTTTGTCTTTTTTAAATCCTAGTTTTGGTAGTTCGTACAAATTGACGCACTTCTCATCTATTAGAATCAGAAAGAGCAAAAACACAAAAGTCTTAACATGTGTGTAAAACACAGCTCTTCCCGAAACTAGACTCAGAAATGACATCATCAGTTCCCAAGGAGGACAGCAGCCACCAGTTAAACACAAGCAAGAGGGGGCATACAGCAGCTATCAAGTTAAATCCAGGCACCTGGATCGGTGTCATGGCCAAGTGGGGGGCTTGTTGAAGTGAGTTTGACCCGAGGTTGAGGGTCCGCACACAGTACTGATGTGGCCCCTCAGCACTAGGGAAACCCGTTTGTTGTCCTGCCACACAGAGCAGCGAAATCGAAGCTTCCGTAGGGCAACAGATTGCATTCCCAGCTACACCCTTCTCACCCTGTCCAGGTCCTCGGAGACAACCAGTTTTATTAATTGTAGCCGTTCCATCTGCTTTTAAAAAAATTTCCAAAAAACATGCCTCTGCTACTCCGTCTGCGGTTAGGGTGGAGGAGAATTTAACACTCACACCCCTCTGCGCAGAACTTTTGTCCCCTCCCTCTGGTTAAATCACAGTTTAGAGGAAGTGGTGACTGGATTGGCCTCACACTGCTGATTCCATGGTGTCCGGTGATCGCACCCCCCTTGTTGGATAACATTTTAACACTGACATTGCTGCTGAGATAACTGTAGATTCATACACAGATGTGAAGAATGACAGGGTAGGTCCCTTGAACACGTTTTCGGCAGCTGTCACTGATGGCCTGAACAACGCGGGCACCTGGCTCTTTCCGAGGGGGATTCGGTGTGCTCCTGGCTTTTTGTTGTCACCCGTGAAACGTGCACCACCGTAATAAACCTGGGGGCTTGAAGGGCAGAGAGTGGCCTTGCCGGCCCCTCGGCGGAGGCACGTGTGTGTGTGTGCGCCCATGTGTACCCCCAGCTCTTGGTTCTGCTTTGGGGAGTGGGTGGGAGACAGGTGAGCGCTCAGATCTGGGGTTTGGGCAGCAACCAGAGACCTTATCTCCTGGTCATCACCACAGGTGTCTGCAGAAGGCCCAGCCCAAACCCTACACCCTGGGTGCCCCTTCCCAGCCCCATCCAGCTTCGAGCCTGTTTGCGGGTATGTTAGCACCTCGGCCAAGAGCACCTGAGCCAGTGTTCATCCCGGCCGTTCCCCAAAACTGCAGAGCCTGGCACATGGTCACCACACAGTGGAGGCAGTGCCAGAGCCCTGCACCCCCATCCCGGCCCTGACTCAGCTCCGCTGGGGTCCCCTGCCCACACAGGCCTCCCCTGCTTAGGTGTTCACTGAGGCGGACCTGGGGAGACATCCTCAGGTGGCCATCAGGGAGGAAGGGCAGGGGTCCTGGGCTCACCCCTGCAGCTGGGACTTTATCCCACCCCTCATCGACCCCCCCAGGGCCAGAGGGCAGCGTCCCCCAGGGGTGGGGTATCTGCGACCAACCCCGGGGGTGCAGGCTGTCGGGCCCCTGGCTCACCCGCAGCGCGGCTTCCGGGTCCCCGGCTAGCAGGTGCACGCAGCCCACGTTGAAGCTCATCCTGGCGGGCGGCTCCGGGACGCTCGAGAAGAGGCGCAGGGCGTAGTCCCAGTCCCCACGCGCCACGGCCTGCGCGCCCCGGTGCCAGTCGCGCACCAGGTCCCCGAGCGAGGGCATGACGACGTGAACACCAGCCCGGCCCCGGCGGAAGTCGGAGATTCCTGGCCGGAGCGCGGCGGGCGCGGCTGGCGGCGTTGGGGGTCCAGTCACGGGTCCGGCGGGGTGGCTGGGGGCCGAGGACCGCGGAGCAGGGGCCCCGGGATCCGGAGACCGGCGTGGGGCTGCGGGGGCCCTCTGAGGAGGACGGGAGGGTCGGGGACCGACACCGGCGCCAGGTACTCGGTGAGGGGCGGGGCGGGCCGGGGAACGCCAGGTGGGCCAGGCCTCCTGAGGCCCACGGCGCCCCCTGGCGGCAGAGCGGCCCCACCCCGTCAGCCCCGCCCCCGGACTGACCACGCCCCCAAACGGTGTCCTGGAGGCTCTCCCAAGCCGGCCCCGCCCCACCGGCCTGACCAAGACCCTAGCCTGCCTCCCGGCTCCTCCCCGGACCCAGCCCCGCCCCTCCGGACTAACCGCGCCCCCAAACAGAGGCCCGGCTCCTCCCCCCGAGTCAACCCCGCCCCTCTGGACTTCCGCCTGGAGGTCCTCCTGCTCGCGCTTCCCGGCCCGCCGCCCACAGGTCGCCAGGCCTCGTCGGCCTTGGTGCGCTGGGGAAAGCCGTCCGGGCCCGCTGCCGACGCCGTGGCCGCGGCCGGGCCAAGGTTCCGGGAGGACCCCGCTGACTCAGGTAAGCGACCCCGGGGCGCGGGCCGAGCGTGCGAGGGGCGGGGGCTGTGGAGCACGTCCTGGGCCGTGCACTGGCCACAGTTGGTGCCCCTGGGGCCTCCCGCGCCCGCGGCCGGTGCTGGGCATGGGCATAGCTGGGAGGGTTCCGGGGGTGGGTCACTCTGGCTGGGCACAGCCAGTCTAGGACCCTGGGTCGGAGCCGGAGGGTAGGCCCGAGGCTCACGTGAGGAAGCAAGTCGTGGTCCTCCCCAGCGACCCTCTCGGGACGTCCGTCAGGGCGTCCTTCCGCCCAGGGAGACCCTTCCACTCTCCGTCGTTCCCTCAGCCGGCAGGCTGGTCCAGCCCCCACCTCCCGTGGCTGGCACTGCCCCTGTGTGGGCAGGTGGGCCCCACGTGGTGCGGCCCGGGAGACCCTGGACGCCAAGCATAGAGCCCCTGTGTACCCCGCCCCCCCCAAGTCTCTGGTTGACCTTAAAGATAAAACAGCCAGTTATTTTATCAGCAAAATGGGTTTATTCAGGAACAGCAGAGAATTACAACTCAGGACAAGAGGGCTACAGCGAAAACTATAGGCAAGACCAGCTAATAAAGGAGAGAAATGTTACTTGACAGAGAAAAAGGAGGAAGTTGGGAGGGGCCGCTTGCAAGGAGAGCCCATTGGAGGAAACGGGGTTCAGGGTGGTGACGCTTCCCATTGGCTGGGCTGCTGCCGGCGGGGAGAAAACCTGCCTTTTCCTCTGGGTCGATGTGAGGTACATGTCTGCCTGTTTGGGGTCTGCAGACACGATGAGTGGTGGTGTGTGAGAGCTTCCCCTTCCAGCCTTCCCGACTCCATTTTAATGAGGTTCCCTTCATTCAGTTTCACACCGTGAACACCAGAAGGTCCTCCTTCCTCCTTCACGGAGAAAGAAGAAGCCTCTAGAGACGGTGCCCCTGCAGATGGAGCGAGGTGGTGCCTGCCCACAGGGTCCTGGGGCTCCATCCCCAGGAGAGGCCGGGAGCCGCTCCTTAAAGTCGGGGGACCCCTACAGGTGCCTGGACCTCTCCCTTCTCAGCACACGCCCCACGGACACCCCTATTTATGTCTTATTTGCTGCCATGATCTTAGCACCTGTGTTAGGTTTTTTCAGAGAGAGTGATTGTTTTTTAAGGAATTAGGTCACGCACTAGTGGGAGCTGGCAAGTCCAGAATTTTCAGCCCGGGGGTGGGCGCGGGCGGTGACAGGCTGGAGACCCAGGGAAGAGTCTAGAGGCAGACATCCCTGTTCCTCAGGGGACCTCAGTCTTTTCTCTTAAGGCCTTCAACTGATTGGACAAGGCCCACCCACATCATGGAGAGTCTCTGCTTTACCAGTGTTGTTCTGTCTACTGACTTCAAGGTTAATTTCATCTGAAAAATACTTTCACAGCAACACGTGACTGTACTTGACCAAATATCTGGGCACCATGGCCTTGTCGCGTTGACCCATAAAATTAACCATCACAGCACCCAACCCTAGAAACACTCCCGTAGATGGGCTCTGCCCTTTTCCGTACTCGGGAGAGCACCCTCCAGGGTCCAGGGGAGGCTTGTGTCTCGGGAGATGTCGGAGCCCGGAGCCCAGCAGTAACACAGAGACCCAACTGCCTCTGACGCTGGACTCCTCCTTCCTCAGTTGGGCCTGTGACTCTGCTCAGTTATGGCTGAGTCTCCTCCCTGTGTGGCCCTGGGCCAGCTCCCTGTGCCTTACCTGTGCAGGCTTCTTTACCTGAGGACCAGGGACGGTGAGGACGACCCAGCAGGGCTGCTGTGAGAAGGGCCTGCCATGATGCTTGAGAAGTGCTCAAAAGGTGTCCTGGGCCGCTGTGCCCCCGAGGACCCTGCTTCCTCACCAGTGTGGGCTCTGAGGTTCCCAAACTGCTGGCCTGGAGGTGGGCAGGGCCCGCACCACACACATGCTCCCTCCTCCCCGAATTCCCGTGTGGACGCTCCCTTCCTCTGACCAGACCTCCCACCCCCCAGCCTCCCCGCAGCCCTGCCCGGTCCAGCTTCAGGATTCCTGCCTCCCTCGCAGCCCCAGAAGGTCCCTGAGCTCAGCTGCCCCCTCCCACCGGCCCACCTGGGGCTCTCCGTCGCTGCAGCCCTCACCCCCACCCCGTCCGTCCTTGCAGCTCACGCCCTCCCCCTGACGAGCCCCGCCCACCGGGGGGCCTCTGGTCCCCGGTCCCTTTGTCCGGGCTGGAGGAGCTTGGCCACCGACTGGTCTCTGTCCCCCTTGACCGTGAGCCTCAGGGGGGGTCACGCGGGCCCCGTGCGGGCACTTGCTCCTCCCCCGGCCCAGCTCCTTCCTCATCCTCTCCTCGGGCCCCACCTCTGCCCCATCCTGCCTCCCAGCCCAGGACCCCCTGGCTCCCAGAGGAAAAGCGGCAGCTGGAAGGTGGTCCCCGCCTCCTCCCTGGGAACGCGCCCGTTCCCGCGGGGCCCACCTGGGCCTGGCGCTGCCCCCTCCTCATCCCCACGTGTCTTCCTGGGGTGCTCCCTCTAGGTATAATTTCCCCCCTCGAAACAGATGTTTGTCTTCGCATCTTGAACAAAACGCTCCCCTCCTGCGCCCACACCATTTCTTTGTTCCCCTTTGCAGCAAGACTCCTTGAAAGGATTGCCAGTACTCAGCGTCTCTGTTACCTTTGCTGGGTGCTTTTTAGAAACTACGGTATGATTCACATATCATAAAGTTCATTTTTAAAGTGTACGATTCAGTGTTTTTGTCACATTGACAGAGTTGTGCCGCCATCGCCACTAACTCATCCCCCACTGCAGTCACTCCCTGTCACGCCTCCCCCAGCCCCGGGCAACCGGTGGTCCAGTCTCTGTGGATTTGCCTCTTTTGGACAATTCATATAAGTGGAATCATAACGCATTTGATCTGTGTCTGGCTTCTCTCCCTTGGCATCATGGTTTGGAGGATCATTCACGTTGTAGCATGTGTCAGTTCTTCAGTCCTTTTAAGGCAGAATCACATGCTGTTGTGTGGATGGACCGATTTTGTTGGTCCGCTGATGGGCATTAGGGTTTTGCTTCCAGTGTTTGGCTCTTGTGAATCACACTTGTGTGCACGTGTTTGTGTGGCCGTGTGTTTTCCATTCTCTTGGGAGCCGGGTCAGGTGGTCACCGTGTGTAGCTTTTTGACTGTTTTCCCATCGTGTTTTTTACTCTGAATCCTGCTCCAGGCGGCCTTCCCACCAGGGTTCCACCCAAGCACTTGTCAGGGTCTCTGGTGGCTTCCTTGCGGCTCGTCCGCCTGTCGGTGCCTGGCCGGCCCTGCCTCTGTGCACTCGCCACCCGGGGTCCCGTTGTTTGAATTACTCTCTGGGTGTTGTGTGTGCCCACTACTCTTCAACTTTTCTATTTCCATAATAAAAAGATGAAAAAGTACCGTCCCTGTGCCCACCAGTGTACACGGATCACTATTGCGGCTCTGCTCCTAATAGCCCAGAACTGGAAACAGCCTAGATGCCCTTCAGGGGGCGCTGGCCAAACAGACTGCGTCCACACTGAGGGAGCCCACTCAGCAAAAAGGATGAGCCCTGGGCACACACAGCAACTTGTGCGCACCTCAAGGGAGTGTGCCGAGTGAACACAGACCTGGAAAGGCCAGACTGTGTGGTTCCATCTATGCAACTTGCTTGAAATGACAAATGATGTGAATGGTGATCAGATCAGCGTCCTCAGGAGTCACTAACAGATCAGCGACTTGGGGCAGCTGTGAAGGCAACAGGAGGGCTCCATGGGGCTGGAGCGTTCTGGTTTTCCACTGAATCAACACAAGGTCCTGGTTGTGATTTGGGGTATATGTGTATGGGTATACGGGACACCTATTATTATTTCTTACAAGTATATGTATATCTACAGTTATCTCAAAATAAAATGTTTAATTTTTTAAAATCCTTAAGAAGATTTCAATTACAAGTTTTTCTATTTTACAGATAGCTTGAAAATTGGAGTGATTAAATGACCTCTAAGATTCTTCCAGCTCTAAGATTCAGTACTTTAGAGGTTGTTTAGAAAAACTTCCTTGTATCTGAGCTAAAATCTATTGCCCAGGGGACTTCCCCGGTGGTCCAGTGGTAAAGAATCCGCCTTCCAATACAGGGGACACAGGTTCGAGCCCTGGTGGGGGAACTAAGATCCCACGTGCTGTGGAGCAACTAAGCCCGTGCGCCACAACTACTGAGCCCGTGCACCACA